CCCCCCCCCCCGCCATTATGCCCCCACTCCTGGCTTCTGAGCTCCCATGTTTAAGTGAACGTGTCCGTTCTCCTCTCTGCTCTCCTCTGTCTGGGCCAGGCGAAAATATAAACTATAATTTCTTTACGGCAAAAAAAAAAAAAAAAAAAAAACACGCCTCATGAAATCCAGGACTATGTGAGTAACAGAAATTACAGCTGTGCTCCCTGGTTCACGTTAGTCAGCATCTGACTCAGGACCTGTGGCTCCTGGCTGGCTCCATGCGGCTTGCTGTGCAACCCCGGACAGAGACCTTAACTTCTCTGGGACTCCCTTTCTCCGTCGGGAAGCATGGAACTTGCGTGGGTTTAGACAGTGAAGGAAACGGAAAGTGTTTACTTACAGTAAGCGCTAATGTTCCCGGTATCTGCAGGGGAGGCAAAAGTCAGACTTGGGCGTAAGCAGGGAGGCAAGGATGATATGGGAGATGATGTTCTGATTGTTCTCTGGAATGTAGAGGCGCTGCTGCAGCAGCCCACACACTCCAGGTGGAGGAAGGGCGACCTCAACATGACCGGTGGCCTTAATGAACTTGTCACCCCTACCCCGCTGCCCTTCGGCGACTTCCCCACGTCAGCTTTGGCCCACTGCCGCCTGCTCTGACGTTGGGCATGCTCCTTGACTGGCAGCCTCAGGCTCTGGGCAAAGGTGTGCCTTCGCAGGCAGGTTACATTCCGCTCGTCCAGCTGTTCTGGGCCCCTGGAATCTGATGGGTTGATCGTTGATCATGGTGGACACGGCTCAAATATCATTTTTCAGAAGCCACTTCCTTTTGGAATTTGCCCCGTCTTTGACTTACTTATCTTTGAGAGGTTGCTGGAAGTTTGTTTTGTTTGTTTCCCAAAGGTAGGGAAGACCTGGTTTGTGTGAGATGGGGGTGGAGGAGTAGGGAGGTGGGGGAACGGGTTCACTGCAGCCTGGCTGGTCCTGTGTCTCTCTTCCCCTATTGAGAGCATCCAGTCCCTTGGTAAAAGTGTTTCAAGCTCTCCCAGCTGCCACTTTGCTTCTAGCTCAGCAGTTGGAAGTCACCTGTGGGTGCTTCAGGCAGAGTCAGGAAAATAGGTGTGTGCAGCCACCCCCTGGGATCTGCAGATTATTGGGGGGGTAGGGAGGAGGGAGTGCTGATCTGTGCATAGACATGGAGTGACCTCCAACTTCCATCCAGCTGACATTGGTCCATGGTGGAAAAGTCGTGTTAGTTAAATAAGCCATCCCCCCAGAGAGTGAGAATCATTTTTAAAGTACACACTCCCATTCATCAGATTCCTCCTCATCCCCCAGAGGGCTGCGACCCATGCACCCTGCTCTGTTCAACAGGATGGAAGGCTTGAGGAGGCCTCCTAGGACCCAGCTGCCTTGGCCCTGGGGACTCGGCACACCCTGTCAGTTTCTCCTCCTTGTGGCCTTTCTTTGCTGTGAAGGGTATGCGCCGCACTCGTTCTGGAAGATTTCTTTCCTTAAATTTCCGTGACGTTGCCTGCAGAAGGCTTTACTACTTAATGACACGTCTGTGCCTGGTCTTTGGCTTCAGGAATAAAGAGAAGAGTGGCAGCCAGCCCGCCTGCCTGGATCACGTGCAGGACAGGAGGGCCTTAGCCCTCAAAGCCCACCAGTCGGAGAGCCACCTGCCCCTAGGTAGGTGTGGGGGAGCCTCAGGGACGAGGGTGGGAGTGTGGCCCTGGCTGCAGCTGGGCTTTTCCTACCTGAACAAGCCCCAGGCTTTGAGGACTCCATACCTGCAGCCCAGAGGGGAGGTTAGCAGAGCTGCCTGGTTGTGGTCCCTGAACTCAATGCTCTATCATCATTCCAGCATTTAAATCCCATACCAGCCTTCAAAGCAGGCAGTTATCCTCATCTTACAGCAGAGGAAACTAATGTATTAATAAGGAGGAGGGTCACCTAGCATTTGCACCCAGGTTTTGTACATTTCAAACCCTTTTGATAAGTGGTGGGCATCATGACAGAAAAGTGCTCCCCTTTAGCGTTCCGCCATCCCCTACCCTGTGTAGCAGTAGCTCACCCACAGATGCATTGCCGCTTCTCTGCACTCTTTCCGTGATGTGGGGGGTGGGACCTGGGAAAGGCAAAGCATTCGGTGTTAGTGGGATGGCTTTTCATTTCTTTTATATGTAACCTCCCACGGGACCACAGAGTGATTTTTTTCCTAGTGCCCCTTTGTAAGCCGTTTCTGTGCGATTTAGCGTGTCTGTCTACCATCCCTGCATCTCTTGCTCTCTCGTGAATGCTGACTGAGATCCACCAGATTTCGAGAGTGACTCAGAGCCCTTAAGGCTCTGTGGCTGGAGACTTCTGTTCCTTAGTGCAGGATTGTGTTATTCACTGCCCAAGACATGTTTTCCTGTTCTGACTGTCCCAACCCGCTGTGACCATAAAATGATGTTACAGCCCAGCCCCTGGGGTTTAGAATCCCTCCCGAGAGTGAGGTGGAGCCAGCGGAACCTTCACAGTGTCCTGGACTGCCACAGAGCAGACCTGCTGGGAGAAAGCCCACCAGTGTTTCCTTTGTGGCTGAGAGGGGAACCCAAGGGCACGGAGTGAGAGCTGGGAACTGCCACTCCCACTCTGCTCTCCGTTCTCCAGACAACTGAGCTTTCTCTGCCCTTCTTTTTCCCTCCGCAGGCTGCAAGCTGCCCCCTCAGTCTCCAGGTATGGACACAAGCCCTTGCCCCAGCTCTCCTGTGTTCAGGACTGGCAGCGAGCCCACCCTGAGCCCGGCACTGGTCCGGCGATTCTCTGCAGACACTAGAGGAGGAGGGGAGGCCCTGCGGGGATCAGACAGTCAGCTGTGCCCCAAACCACCCCCAAAGCCCTGCAAGGTGCCCTTCCTCAAGGTTCCCCCGTCTCCGTCTGCCTGGCTCAATTCCGAGGCCAACTATTGTGAACTGAACCCTGCTTTTGCTGTGGGCTGTGACAGGGGAGCCAAGCTTGCCCCACACGAGGAGCTGCTGACAACCAAACACAATGGGGCCTCAGGCCCCCGGAACTCTGGCATCAACTACTTGATCCTCGATGGGGATGACCAAGCGAGGCCTTGGGATCCTCTGGCAGCACAGACAGATGAGGGTCAGGAAGACAAAACGATGTTTGTGCCACCTCTCATGGAAACCGTGTCGTCATTCAGACCCAATGACTTTGAGTCCAAGCTCCTTCCTCCGGAGAACAAGCCCCTGGAAACCGCCATGCTGAAGCGTGCAAAAGAAGTGTTCACCAACAACGACGCCAGGGTCATCGCGCAGCACATGCTGAGTGTGGACTGCAAGGTTAGTGCTCTGGGGTTGGCCCCTTCGGGTAAGGGCACCTGCCTGGCTGTATGTACTCTGCCTCCTCGGCTAGGTACTTTGTCATAGGGAAAAGCCAGAGGGTAACGCAGGTGTGGAGATTTACTTACAGGGTGGGAACCACCAGCAGGACAACCTTTGCCCAGCAGGAAGCTGGTAAACTTCACCTTGGACAGAGGGAAGGCAGGCCTGCCCCTGACCCCCTCTGCTGATAACAAGATTTGTGACTCCTCCTCCTCCCTGGTGCTTGGTTAAAAATTCCACTCAGGCCAGTCAGAACTGAACAGCTGGGGCCCAAGGAGTATAGCTGAAAGCGTGGTTTTGGGAGTTGCAGGATCCTGGCTGTTTTATTCTATACTTACCTATGTGCCATATATACTTTATTATTGACATGATCTTTAGGATAATCATCTTCAACTGGATCTTTTTTAATTTTTTTTACAAGAATTCTTTAAGTTAGAAAAATTGTAAAATGAAGATTAGAAGAAAAGATAAAATCAAACAAAATCCAGTTTCCTTCCTAGGCCTGAGAGATGGCTTAGCAGGTATGCTAGCTGCCAAGACATGACCTGAATACAGTCAGTCCAGAATCTACAAGGTAGAAAGAGAGGACCAACTCCTGCAAGTTGACTTCTGAGCTACACAAACAACATGGCATATATACATACATACACACACACGCTTGTACACACACACACACAGAGAATAAAAATCTCAAAAACTTAGGCTGGAGAGATAACTCAGTGATTAAGAGCACTGGCTACTCTTCCAGAAGACCCTAATTTGATTCCCAGCACCCACATAGCAGCTCATAACATATTTAACTCCAGGTCCACGGGGTCTTACTCTCTTCTGGTGTCTGGGCATGAGTCCCACATGTACTGTACAGACATACATGCAGGCAAAACACCCATACACATAAAATAAAATTAAAAACTCATTTAAAAAGTCCTGGTTCCTAAATGACAGCTACTGACAGCACTTGGCATATGGCATGCCAGGCCTGCCGGCTTTGTGGGTAACACTTGCTAATCACACACAGATACGATCTCAAGCCTGTGGCTCTCATTCCACAGCTACACAATTTCATCATCTTCATTTCTTATAGCGGCATTTGCTTCAGGAGCAGTGACCTGTGTCCATAAGCTCTCAGTCTCTCTTCGACAGTGGGCATCTGGGGCTTGACCCACCTTTTCGGTACACAGTAGTTGATGATTGGGCATTTGAGTGACAGCTAAGGCCTCAGTGGAATTTGATGTCTGATTTCACTCAGTTCAGAGAAGGCCATGAGTTTCAAAGGTTAGGATTTGTCCAAGAGCTGGATTTTCCTTCCTGTGTCAGGAATCTTGGCTGGAAATCTAATCTCCTAGCAATCCCCCAGGGAGTTAAAGGGCTCCCAAAAATAACTATAATATATATAATCCACTAAATAACTGCGGGTTATCCTGGGTAGAAAAAGCTCCTGTCCTGAATCCAGGACAGGAAAGGTAACTAGTGCTCATAGTTGAGGGGGTCATCCATGCTGGTAGAGGAAGGAGCGGGTGTCCCTGCTAAGCAAGGCCCGACAGGAGAGCTGAGAAACAGGACTGGTGTGAAAGAACAGGACCTGTTGACTCCATTAGCTGGGCATCGTTGGGCAGAGCACACAGGTGGGTAGATGGATCTTTGCCTTAGTGTCCTGTGCAAGAGGACTGAATTTCTGTCCCAGCAAGTCAGCCGTATGGGCCCTGGGTCATGCCAGTAGGCCAGAGGTGAATGAAATCCCATCTAGTGTGAGACTGCCTGCTCACCCCCAGCCCCCAGGAGGGAGCTCTTTGAGTATGCGGGGTTCTGTATTTACAGAACAGCCCTTTTCCTGGGGGTAGTCAGCCCGTGAGTGTCTATGAGGGCTTAAATGTCTAGAAGGAGGAAAAGGGGAGATGCCTGCCCATGCTTCACAGGTCTGGAACCTTCCCACTGCTTTGAGCCTAAGTCTGATGTCACCAGACAAGTATGCAGTCCTTCTCCTCTCCTGCCCTGTGCACTTTGTCCTTCTGATGGGCCTCCTCCCTGGTCTGTCTTCAGGCTTCCTGGGAGTCCCCAGCAAGCAAGGAGAAACCAGCCTAGACTGTTCACCCTAGCCTCACGGGCAAGGCTGCGGTCAGCCCTCCGAGTATTTTCCTCCGCCACCCATGCCTCGTTTTCCCCCTCTTCCCCAGAACTACCAGGCACAGCCAGTGCTTCCAAGAGGAAAACTGTTTCCCACCCCAAATGTAGCAGCAATGAGATGGGGCCACCCAGGAGCGCATCTGGGTCCCATGTGCCCATTCCCACCCCCCGGCACATAGCTCAGGCACAGATGCTTATTAAGGGCATCAGGACAGAGGGTGGTTCTGAGCACACAGGAAGCTGGAGCCCATCAGTGCCCAGCACCCCAACTCCTGGGCCCTCCTACCTGCAGATGGGCGCTGCTTCTTTCCTCACTCACCCTGGGGAAGCACAGCCACTGCTCCACCTACTGTCTTTGAACATGGACTGAAATCCAGTCGTTAGCTGTGTGACCCTCGTTCTCCATTTGCAGACAGTGTCCTGCAGGTGGCTACGAGGTGCATGTGCCAGGATTTCTGTCAAAAGCCATGGGGAGAGAGCTTGTTCTAAATAGGCTTCATTTCTGGATCCAAGAAGGGGGTGGGTTGGGAAGGGCCTGTCTGCCTTTCCTGGTGTGTGTGAGTTTCTTCTGGGCTCATACAGGATCTTGCTGTTAGAGCGCTTTACCATCAAGTAAGGAAAACAAACCTATGAGTATGTGGGTGCAGGTCTGAGCCCTCTGCCGTGGGCAGCGGAGCCAGCACAGCTAGAGATTGGCCTGGCAGTGTGATTGCACTTTAGGCCTCTTGGTAGCCGAGAAGAGGGCCAGGCCAGGTACCCACCAGGACTCCTGCACACTGCACTGGCCTCAAAGCAGTGGAGTGTGGAGAAATGGGTCCAGGGACTTCACTAAGTGGTGACAAGGAGGACTTAGAGGGCGGAGGGAAGACTTCTGCATCCTGCCCTACCAAGGTAGGGTCAGCCCACAGTAAACATCGCCTCCTCCCTCTGCTATAATAATCCCCAGAGGATTTTACCTAGGCCTGCACGTGAGCTCCACATCCGCTAGTCCTCCAGCATGGGCCTGGAAAGCATGTGTAGCCCTGGAAAGGGACCTGCTGATGGTCGACTTAAGTCAGAAGAGAGACATCTCACTCTCCAAATGGAACCCCAGAATTCCTGCTACTGCTTCTAGAAGGAAACTGCCAGTGGCGAGCCTTGTTATGTAGAAGGTGTGGGTTACAGTGCACCCCAGAGAGGCACTGCTTGCATGCCTGGAGTGATCACGATAGAGGCCAGTCCACCTGATGAAGCACAAGAACCATCCTGTGCCAGTGACGTGTCCAGACTTGGTTAGGCCCCCGAATCCCAGGGTCATACTGCAGTATGTCACCGAGCTCTCGTGGCCCCAATTTAGGGACCTGCTGAGTCCACTGTCACACTTCAGCACGACGTGTACTAACTAGGAACGGTCAGGTCTAGTATCCAATTCTATTAGACCGTTCATTACACACATGAGAAATGAGCTGGTAAAAAACACACTGTAAGAAACCGAAAGAGCAAATTTAATCAATGAAGAGAAAAGAAAAGGATTGGATTGGGATGAGAGCTGGCTCGGACAAAGCCAAGATTTCCTTTCAGGGAAACCTCTCTGGAGGAGACGTGGGTGTGTGGGTTTCAAATCACCATATGTTTGTAATGGTTCCCAGCCGAAAGGTGCACTTACAGCACCCAGGAGAGGCGTAATTAGGGGCAATCACAGCCAGCTGTGGCTGCTAAGTGAGACCATGAATGGCAAAGCCCAGAGCAGAGGGGAGCTTGGAGCGCACTCTGCCTTTCCACTGAAGAGACTGGTAGGCTCCACACACGCGCAGCCTTGCTGTTGGCAGCAAAATGTCTCTCCACGATCCAGCCTGTGTCAGCCCAGGGCTCGAACGAATGATTAATTCCCTGGCTGGGCATGAACGCATGCCAGATCTGCAGATTGTAGAGACCGTTTGAGAGTCCCCTCAGCACTTTGCCCACTAAGCAAGGGAAGTGTGTGTGTTCATGTTCATGTGTGAGGCAGTACACATGGGAGGAAACAATTGCACATGTCAGTGTGTGAGGTCAGGGGACAACCTCAGGAGTCCTGAGGAGCTAGGCACCTTGTTTTTTGAGAGACAGACTCTTACAAGGATCTGGGGCTTGCAAATTAGGTTAGGCTGACTGGCTGGGAAGCCCCAGAGATCCACCTTTCTCTTCCTCCTGAGTGCTGAAGACTGAGCCCATTCCACCATGCTTGGCTTTTTACAAGGGTGCTACTAATCAAACTCAGTTCTCAGATTGCACAACAAACACTTTACAGACCAAGTCATTTTACCAGTCTCTCTCCCAGCTTCCTATCTTATTCTGTATATTAAGATTATGCTGTCACTCAAAGAAATATAAGCGCACTCTGTCCACAGCCACAGAATTTCCGTGGACTGTATTTCTTTCCTCATGCTAAATTAACAGTGGGGCCAACCCACTTCCTGATCTAGCAAATTTCTGCTTGGCTCCTGACAGGTTGCTAGGATACTGGAAGTCTCTGAAGACATGAAGAGGAGCATGGGTGTGGGCTCAGGACTGGAACTCATTACCTTGCCTCATGGACACCAGCTGCGCCTGGACATTATCGAGAGGTGAGCACGCCGTCTCTGCAGCTCCCACTTTCAGCTCCTTGCACACATCTGTGCAGCAGGGTGCAGAGGAGTCATATTACTCCAGGGTCCGCATGGCTCTTCTCAAGCCTGAGCTATAGAACACCTGATGAGAAGACAGTACAGCGGGGGTCGGGGGCATCGCACTGTCCCGGCCCCATTTCTGTGGGTGGCAGGAGACTTTGAAGCTGTGCATGGCTGCAGCGGGGAGACTACACCTGCTGTATTCTACCTCTCATGAGCATCCGTGGCTCTGAAACTCAAGAGCTCTTGATGAACTGGGGAAGACCGAGGAGAGTGGGTTCTGACCTCTTTCTGTAAGGGGTGGACAGGAGGACTATAGATTCCAGGGCTTGGAAACAAAATCACGCTGCCATTTTTTTCAGAAACACTACAATCCCAGGGTAGCTTCCTTTCTAGTTGCTATACTAAATTACCCTGGCAAATACATCCTAAGAAAGGGTTTATTTAAGTTCTATTTAAGTTCACGGTCTCTCCGGTGGGGAAGTGGAGAGAGCAGGAGCTTGTGTCCACAGTCAGGAAGCAAACAGTGAGTGCAAGCTGCTGCTAATGGGGGGCACTGCCACCCGCAGTGGCATGTCTTCTTTCCTCAGCTATAACCCCCCCCAGAGGCCCATTTCAGATTCTCTCAAATTGACAGTACTGACCACCACATCAGGTGTCCATTAAAACACACACATGCCTATAATCTCAGTACCTGGGGATCAAGGCCAGCCCAAGTTTCATAATAAAGACTTTTCTCAAACAAAAAAAATGAAACAAAACAGAAACGTGCCCTTGAACATGAAATGCTTAGAGATGAGACATGATTTTAAGAAGCACAAGACTAAATTTTTGTATGACCCCAAAAGCAGTCTATACACACACACACACACAAGTTCGCAAGCACACACACGCATGCACGCACCCACTATTGTGCAAACTGTTTCCCAGTAGCTGTGACTAACTGCTATGGCTTCCATGATATTCCTGGGCATGGCCCTGACCAGTTGAGCGTTCTGTGGTGCAGGAGTGCGCACAGACACTGACTGTTCTGGCCACTGTACATGGGTGGCAGATGCATCTAAGAGATGAAGAAAATTTTTAGCTCTCCAGTATCTAAGTGTAAATATCCACAGGTGCTGGCAGCTGTCGGCCTCTAGGAAGTAAAGGCTCTATTCACAATAATGCTACAAAGATGAGCCTGGATTGCACAGCTGTAATCCCAGCACTGTCATCTAGAAAGAGGGCTTTGAGGGAGTGAGGCAGAGGCTTTGGGGATGCCTTTGGTCTCACAGCGGGGGGGGGGATAAGAATGAGGGGGCAGGAGCAGGATTGATGGGTTAGAAACGGCCAGTTTTGTTCAGGCAGGCTCGTGGTGAAGGCGTTGGGGAATTACTTGTCGCACTTCTGAGCTGCCTGCTTTTCCTGACCAGACTCCTTCCTCAGTTCCCTCCTCTTCTTCCTCCTCATGACCAGCAGCACATCTTGCTTCTCCAGTGTTGTCTGGGTGGAGCAGTCACTCTCACTTCCCCGTTCCTAGTAGACGTGCTGTAGTCTGAGATCTCCAGAGATTTCTTCTTTTTCCTGGCACTGAGAATTGTGCCGGAGCCTGAGCTCTGAGCCTCAGCCACGACCAGCAGTTGCTGGTCTCTCGTCAACATCTCTCTATGCTACGTGCCTAGAATCTCGTACCCTATTTGTTTCCTATTCGTCTCTGACTGTGGGATCTACCCACAGAGCCAGGGGTATAGTTTGATTAGCTATGATGTGTTAACTAAATAAGGACCAAGGTCAAAGGAATCCTGGACTGCCCAATGACTTTATTCTATTGCTCTTGAATCAAATCTGAAAGCTACTCTTGACTTCCGGTTTACCATTTCACTCCAGGGGCATCCTTCTGATAACACATTGAGTAACCTCTAGCTGCCAGTCATTGACATGTAAGCCACAGACTGAGTCATACACACACATACATCCTTCTGGTAACATGTGAGTACCTCTAGCTGCTGACCACTGACAGGTGAGCTGCAGACCGAGTCTCTCTCTCTCTCTCTCTCTCTCTCTCTCTCTCTCTCTCTCTCTCTCTCTCTCTCTCACACACACACACACACACACACACACACACACGTAAAGACACTTGGAGCCAGCAGAGATCATTACTTAGTTAACAAGCAAGGCATTTGGGGGACTTGGAAAGGCCGAGCATGAGCTAACTCCCTGCCACCCTCTGCCAAGGGTGAGAGACCACTGGAACACAGCAAGAAGCCCCAGCCCCAGTTGTGAGTTTTCAGGACAGTGTGACCCTGCAGTTTCAGAGGCACATGGTACCTCCAGCAACTGCATAGTAGCCTAGAAAATTAAGACTATTTTGACTCCATGCAGTAAATTCCTGGACTGAGATTTACAGAGGGAAAGAAAGAGGTCACTGTCTGAGCTTCCTGCCACTGACTGACCCTGTTCATAGGGTCCCATTGTCATGTCCAGAAAAGTCACCCTGTTTCCTGCCCTCAGTCTCTGAGTTTGACTCATGTAGTCTAGGGTGAGAAAAGGGAGTCTGGGGGAGGGCAGGGTACTGTTTTAAGGATCTGACCTTATAGAAAATTCCTGCCGGTCCTTCAGCCGTTGTCCACCTCTCCAGTCACTCTGTGGCATCTGTACTGGGGTTGTAGAACACCCTTCTTGTCCCCCTCTCTCCTCCTCCTGTTCTAATATCCATGTCATCTTCCTGGATCAAGTATATTGCCTTTCCCTGTTTTTGTCTTTTACACTCCTCACTAAGAGGTGGTTCCAGTCTTCCTTAGGAGTAGCATCCGGTCTGTTAGGGAACCTGGTATCTCCTTAGGCCTCTCATGGTAGTAAAGGGAGCCTTGTAGCCACATCACTTCTGAGGTCCTCTTCATGCTTCCATTTGCAGACTTGACCTGGACATGTTCAAGAGCATCTTACTTCCTGAATCCATCCTCTGCCTGGTATGGGATGGCTTTAAGATCAGCTTTTCAAACTGGCTCCTAGCCAGGGGCACACAACCCTGTTTCTGGAGGATTAGGGCCATTTTCTCCTCATCTTGTTGACCTGAGCCTGTCCCTTGGTCTTCTTCCACTTAGACACAACACCATGGCCATCGGCATCGCTGTGGACATTCTGGGCTGCACGGGTACTTTGGAGAACAGAGCAGGTACCCTCAATAAGATCATCCAGGTGGCGGTGGAGCTGAAAGACACCATGGGAGACCTCTATTCTTTCTCAGCCATCATGAAAGCCCTAGAGATGCCTCAGGTGAGATGCTGGCTTTGTGCTGCTGCCCATACAAGCGTGCATTCAACGCTATGCAGAGTTCTGTTCATCTACACCATGTATGGCTGACTGCTCCAGCCAGTCTCTAAAGATAACTGAATTTTAGTGAAAGCTGCCTTGGTTAGAGGCAGCCAAGAGTATTGTCCCCAGTATTTTGGCTCTGTTTGTAAAAGCACTGGTAAGTGCTGACAGCCCACATCTCATCTTCGATGTGTAATACTAAGAATTAGCCTTACTAGTAAGCAATATTCCTGAAGAACCATTTAGGACAAGACAACAGGCTGGAGTGTGTGGCATGTCAGTGGCTATATCCACTTGGGACATCAGGAATGTAATGTTTGGGTAATGCCTTGGGGGAAACCAAGGCATTTAAGAAAGTTATACCAGAAAATCCCTAAACCAGCAGTTCTCAACCCCTTTCACAGGGGTCACCGATAAGATATCCTGAATATCAGATATTTACATTACAATAGCAAAATTGCAGTTATGAAGTAGCAATGAAAATATTTTTATTGTTCTAAGGGTCAAAGCCCTAGGAAGGTTGAGAACCACTGTCCTAGACTGATGGTCTCAAAGTATCTTCCTCAGGTTCCTTAAGACGGATGCCAAGTAGCTCCCTGGAGGATATCTCAGGTCTGACCTCTGACTTTGTCTGCACTGACAGATGTTGGATGTTTTCAGAAAGAATCAAACAGAATGGGCCTCCTAGAGGGAAGTGGGATCTGTTGTCTCCCCTTCGTGTGGGTGCTTGGAGAACTCTGAGTAGTAGTCCTGCAAGCCAGGTCAGACCAGCAGCATCAACCTGCTGGGTCTTTATCTGGGCTGTTTCCTAGACACAGGCTAGTTCTGAAATCCTGCCAGGTGTCCACAGACATCCGTCCCGGCCACTGAGGGACACAGCTGCAGTCACATGTCCTGGAAGTCAGAGCATGCGTGACACGTAATTTCCCTCATTAAAAAGAGTGACCGATCAAATTAAGTGCCCACCAGAAGTTTCTTGGAACTACGTGGCAGGAGAGAACCCACTCTCACCCACAGAGTAGCTACAGTGAGATACCTACTTTTTCAAAGCATGCACAGACACACACATGCAAGCTTAACTTGTGGGATGAGCCATCAGAACCATGCAGAACAGGATCGAGGGGTCATGTTTTTCTCTCAATGAACAATCGCTTCTCACACTGTCCTGCACATCTATCACCTATTCCAAAATTGAAGCAGAAAGGCAATTTTTAAAAAGAGGCTTTCTGAAACAATAACCTTTCCTCCTTCCAGATCACACGGTTAGAAAAGACATGGACTGCTCTGCGGCACCACTACACCCAAACAGCCATCCTCTATGAGAAGCAGCTGAAGCCCTTCAGCAAAGTCCTGCAGGAAGGCAAAGGTGAGTGCCGGGCACAGAAGACCCTGCCGTCAGGCTCCCCCAGTTACATAATCTCACGTGGCATTGCATGTACGGACCTGCAGTTCCTACACGAAACACAGTCAGTTGGTTTGTAATTAACATGATATGGAACTTCCCTCCTTGTTCCTCAGAGTCCACACATGTCCCGCCAGGCAGTGTATCAGTCCCACTGCTGATGCCTCTTGTGACCTTAATGGAACGGCAGACTGTCACTTTCGAAGGAACTGACATGTGGGAGAAAAATGACGAGAGCTGTGAAATTATGCTGAACCACTTGGCGACAGCCAGATTCATGGCCGAGGCTTCCGAGAGCTACAGGAGGAATGCTGAGAGGATCCTGGCAGGTAGGAACTTGTTTCTGGAATCCTCTCTCTGTGGGGATTAGAATGAAGAAATAAAGAGAAAGGGCATGGATGCCCTCAGCTAGAAAAGTGACCAACGAGAAGAGATTAAGGTGTGGACACTCCCTTTCCTATGTCATTGCTCATTACTCCCTATTTCCATAGAAGAGCACACAAATACAAAATGGGTGTCATTGTGTGTGTGTGTTCGGGCCAGAGGTCAACCTCAGATGTCTTTCTTCAGGCACCGAACGCCCCTTTTCTTTTGCGTCAGCATTTCTTACTGGCCTGGAACTTTACTATGGAGGCTAGGCTGGCGGGACAAGTCCCAGGGTGCCTTTTTTCTCTGTCTCCCCAGCATGGGGATTAGAGGTACATACTACGCCTGGCTTTAAAAAATTATTCTTAATTGCATGTGTCTATGCAAGTGTGTATATTGCATGAGTGAAGGTGCACAGGGAGTTCAGAGGTGTCATCCCTGAGCTAGTTACAGGTCACCTGACATGGCACTAGGAGACAAACTCAGGTCCTCTACAAGTCGCACACATTCAGAACCACTGAGCCATCCAGTTGACCATGGCCAACTTTTTTTTTTTTTAGGTTTTCTTGAGTACTGTATCTATGTAATTTCTACCACTTACCTTCACTTTGTCTCCCTATGCTGACTACTTCAATTACACACACACCTATAAATATAATCTGACAAGTCCACTTTGTGTTGTTTATATGTCCATGTGTTTAGGGATGACCAACTGGGATTGGATAACATATCAGGGATTTTGCCCCTTGAGGGGACTGGTTCTTCTCTCAGTAGCCATTAATTACCTATAACGCTTCATCTAGGAGTAGGGCCTTGTAAAATTTCTCCTATCCACTTTGCGATATCAGCTGGTATTGCCACTGGACAGTCTAGGTAGAGGACCTATTTTTGAGATTTCCTGAGTGCAACTCCTATTGTATGTAGAAGACAGTACCTCATAGTCAATACCTTGGTCCTTCTTCCTTGATGTTCCCTGAGCCTTTTGTGCAGAGATTGAGTTGCAGATTATCAACTGGGAAATGGGCTGTCCACAGTAAATTTTTCTCTGTACTTTGACCACTTGGAGATTTCTGCCGCTGGTCGCCATCTACTGCAGAGAGCAGCTGCTCTCTGAGGAGCGCGAGCTACACCTGTGTGTGGGTGTAAGCACAGATATGTAGAATGCACTCGGGAATTATGGTGGTTTAGGAAAGTGATAGTAGTATGTTCTCCCCTGACCTCATCAGCCACAAGTAGTTGGCTAGGTTTACAGTACCAGACACGAATTCCCTTCTACTGAGTGGGTCTTAAATCCAATTAGATGCTCTTGGTAACCTCCAAGATATAAGTGCCACTTCTGAACCCTTGCTGTAATAGCCATAGTTGTGGCTCACAGGCCTTACAGCCTGTGACCTTAGGGTCCCCACATTTCTTTGCTTCTGTGCTCTATCAAGGGATAGAATAAATAAAAGGCAGCGGCAAGAAGAAGTGCACCATTACCACCTGGGAAGGCAGTAGCCACCACAAGGTGTTTTATCCAGACTTCACTGTCTGTGCGCCTCTTCCTTCCTAGTTATCCCTGCTCCAAGTGCCCCAGAACACATCCCAGGCAGTGTAAACTGAACTTTCTCCTTGAGCTCTGGAGAAGGATAAAACATACGTCACCGCTGCGGTGTATGCTGCACGAGCTAAGTGGTGGCCCTCAAGGGTGTCAGCACACAGTGCCAAGTGCAGAGCCAGCCATGAACAGTCAGGAAACGTGGTTTGCTCAGAGGGGCAGTGTGTGGGAATAACACCCGGAAGAAAAGAAGTCCCACTGTTTGTGAGACAGGGTCTCATAGAACCCAGAATGACCTCAAATTTGGTACCTTGCCAAGGACAACCTTGAACTTCTTGATCCTTCTGCTTCCACCTCCCAAATGCTAGGATTGCAGGTACATGTGAGCCACCAATCCTGCTGTATGCAGTGCTGGACTCTTCATATATTAAGAATGAATATAAAAGTGAAGAGTTTATGACTAGTTCTTTCAAAGTAAACACATGCTTACCATATGACCGCCTTGAGAAATGAATGTCCACACAGGCTTGTGTTCATGTTGACAATTACTCACAGTACAGCAGTGAATGGGTATGTCCACATAAATGCCTATTAATCAGCAATTAAACAGAATGTGTCATTGCTAACACGCCACACACAGAACAATTTGAAAACCATTCATACAAAGTTGAAGAACCCTGACAGTGCATAATATATCATGATTCCTTTTTGTTATCAAACCTCTAAAGACGCAGAGCTCATCAGTGGTTCTCTAGGACCGGGGCTGAAACAGAGGTTGACTACCTGGAAGTACTTTCCAGGTAGGAAGGACTTTCTAAGCTGAAGAAAGTATCCTAAAATGGTAAATTTACTAACATCAAACTTTACAGCTAAAATAGTTGAATCACATGGCAAGTAAAGTTGTGACAAATGCAGACAAGCTGCCATCCAACACTCCTCACATCGGACACAGGCTTGTGAATTCTTTGACGCTCGTCAAATGAGGAGGTCCTACATTTTCCTAGAGGAGAAAGTTCATTTAATTCTACTGTAAAACAGGATAGCGTCACTCACTTATAACCCTCTGAAGCAGAACCCAACTTACCTGCTTTATTTTGATTAGATTTTCAACCGGATGAAGAAATGACTGAGATCTTGAAGACTGAATTTCAGATGCGATTGCTGTGGGGCAGCAAGGGTGCCGAAGTCAACCAGACGGAGAGATACGAGAAGTTCAACCAGATTTTAACAGCCCTCTCACGGAAACTGGAACCTCCTTCTGTAAAGCAGGCTGAGCTCTGAGAACCACCCAGGAGACCTTGGGGCATTACCTGAAGCTTTTCCAGACCTGCTGGGAATGCTTATCATCTTATAAAGTAATAATGTGCAAATCTAAGAAGATACAAGCTTTTAATATCCACAGGATATTAAATGTATAAACTGCACAGAGCATATTTATATGAATTGTTTAAAACTACTACTGATTTTTAAATGAATGGTAATTTATTATTAGATAACTATTGCTAATGTTGATCAGCAAATTTAAGAAGACATAGCTATGTTGCTGGTTGTTTAATAATCGTGGTATTTGACCATCTTAGTTTTAATTCCATGTCATATAAATGTAAATAGAGGCATTTAAAAGAAAAGCATGAAGCATTGCAGAAGGTATCAGTTATATGATATTCTTTTGAATATGAAACTGTAAATAGTCATGAGTGGAAATATATGTTTTTGTGAAATGATTGTATCCTCTCTCTTTAGTATTGACTCACCTTAGCATGATAATTCTAACTCCTGGATTCTAAGGAGCTTTCTTCCTTATTCCCATATTAAACCAAAAGTGGTTTGCAAATCTAAGGGTTCTACTGCAAAGACAGAATGTGAGCCAAAGTGAAATCCTACTTCTAAAGTCCTAGGTTCAAACTCAAAGGAAAGTGCTAGCTAACAGCTGGACTGGGTACCAGATGTCAGCTGCCATCCTATTTCTTTATTCTTAATTTTCGAGACAGGGTTTCTCTGTGTAACTTTGGAGTCTGTCCTGGAACTCGCTCTGTAGACCAGGCTGGCCTCGAACTCAGAAATCTGCCTGCCTCTGCCTCCCGAGTGCTGGGATTAAAGGCGTGCGCCACCACCACCTGGCCTCGCAATTCTATTGCATGACACAATTGATCTACCACACTAACTCTCCTGGAAAGCTCTCCAGACACACTTGGAGCAATGCTTTCCAATTCATAGTTCCTTGGGTAACCCTTAGCCCCCACCCTTTATGTTGTGCCCAAAATCAACTTGAGAAAGGGTTTATAGTTTGGCTTATGGTTCTAGAGGGACAGAGATCATCATGGTAGCAGGAAGCCCCAATCTTTTTCATCTGCACACAGAGCAAGAACAGGAAGTAGGGTGAGGCTATAAATACAGCCCGCACCCCAGTGATGTTATTTCCTCCAGCAAGACCTTTGTGATCTTCCCAAATACATGAGTGTTTAGGGGACATTCCCACCACATCATGCCAACAAACTTAAGAATCCCCATGTGAAGGCAAACCCTAACATTTTTAGAATATATAGTATTTGCTATACTCTGAATCAACTATAATATACAGAAAAAGCATATGAACTAATCATTTCCTCTAGAAGATACACAAATCTTACAAGCTCATTTTCTAGGTTTCTGACTTCTCCCAAAGAATGTCTAGTATTTATATAGTCTCCATTTTCCCACTGTAAAAATTTTGTAATACACGATTTTAAAGTCTTCTGTAATCAACTATCTAACACTTACCTATTTGTTTTCCTGTCTTTTTTGCTTGAGATAGGGCCTCACCATGTAGTCTTGGCTGTTCTGGAACTCACCATGTAGACCAAGCTAGCTAGCTTTGAATTGACAAGAGATCCACTTGCCTCTGCCGCCAAGTGCTGGGATTAAAGGCATGTGCCACCACGCTTGGTCTGTTTCCCTCTAAGTATGTAAACCACACCAAGTTTTCTTCATGATATTAAGTAGACTTGGAGGACTGACTGCCTGGTTATAGATACCACACTCTAACATGGCCATCTTAAGAACATTGTCCTGGTTTGCTTTTTCTTGTGATTAAAATAAAGGGGTTGGAAATGGCTTGTTACAACTTATAGGTTAGTCTGTCAGCAAGGCAAACCAGGGCAGGAACTCAATGCAGAGCCGGCAGGCTAGAACGTGGAGCAGAAGCCATGGAGGAATGATGCTTACCGCCTGCTTCTTGCTTCTGTGTTCTTACACAACTCAGGACCACCTGTCTGATGTGGCACACCTACAGTAGGTTGATCTGCCCACCGTAGTGAACTTGAACTGCCTCCAGGAAACAGGGATCTACTTATTAAATAGGGTTGAGGAGAACATTTACCAGCAAAAAAAAAAAAAAAAAAAAAAAAAAAAAGACAAAAACTGGTTACCAGATATGTTCTGGTTCTCCAGAGACAGAACCAAGATATTTATATAGCTATGGGGAGGTTAGTAAGGGAACTGACTTACTTGATTATGGAGACCAGAAGTCCCATGCCTGGCCATCTGCACATTGGAGATCCTGGAGGGCTGTAGCCTCGCTCAGTCAAACTCCAAATGCCTCAGAATCAGGAAAACCGAGGGTGTAATTTTCAGTGCAGAGCAAACGCCCAGGACCCTGGGAGTCTGTGCTACCAGTAGTGGAGTTCAAAGGCCAAAGGAGGAGTCAGTAAGTTCAAGGGCAGGAAAAGCATCCACTGTTCTGTGTTTATGTTCTGTGTAGGTTGGCTCCCAACTAGTGCCCATCTACACTGAGGGTGAATTTTTCCCACCAGCTCACATGCCAGGCTCTGGAAACACCCCAGACATGCCTAGTGATAGGACATTCCCTCCAGTGTTCTAGTAGTTCCTTAGCCCAGGCAAATTGACCCCTAACCTTAACCACACCACAAAATACGCCTGTCTTCACATACAACTCGAGGAAGAAAAACTGTACCTTTCAGTGAGGTTCTGCAGCTGTTGTTCTCCCATACAGGTCTTGTAGCAAAACTTTAAAAAACCAGATATTGATTGGTTGTGATCCCAGGTTGGTATATCCTACTTAACAGATTATACATGTTTGTTTTGTTAGATAGAAAAGCTCACTAGGGAGCACTTTAAGAAGACAGAATACTCTTTTTACTTTAGATAACTTTATTCTAAGATTCTATTTTGTGTGTAGGGGGTGGGGGTGGTTTGTGCACTTGAATGTATGCCCATGGACAGCAGAAAGGAGCATCTGATCTCCTGGAGCTAAAGTTATAGGTAGTTTTGATCAGCAATGAACTGGACCTTATCAACAACCTAAGAACCTTTAGTTCCTGGCAAGCCTTCAGATAAATGCTACCCGTGAGAATGTCTGAGTCAAAACTAGGTATCTATGTTTCGTATCTAGCTGTGGTGTGCTACACAAATAACACAATTAGCATCTTCAATACATTAAAGGGTTCGAAGAAATCAACTGAAGTCCTCTACAACAATGGTTCATGATCCTAACTGCTAAGCTATCTTTCCAACCCAACTAAAGAGTTTTCTTACAGTAGATAAAAGACAAAAATAGTAGTTATGAACAGTAGTTGATATGAACTAAAATGGACCTCATCAAAAGAATAAGTGGGAAAGAACCAACACAGAACTAAAGAAAGATTGGTATGACAGGCACCCTCTGAGAAGGCCACAATGTTCCCTGTCCTCTGCTACTAACAGCCATGCACTGTTCCACTCACACTATGCCAGGGTTGGTCACTGTGCTCACAAGCAGAGGACAGACGTTATGTCACACCTGACATTAGGGCACAAAATTAGGTCTCCATCATGGCTCTTCACTCTCCTGGACCACTCCCTGTAAGATACTACACTGACAGCGTCCCAGGACAGAGGTCCACACGGTAAACCTATGGTCAGATCAGCAACGAACTAGACCCTATCAACAACCTAAGAACCTTTCGTTCCTGGCAAGCCTTCAGATAAATGCTACCCATGAGAATGTCTGAGTCAAAACTAGGTATCTATGTTTCATATCTAGCTGTGGTGTGCTACACAAACAAATGACACAATTAGCATCTTAATACATTAAGCATTTCCATGAAAGGCAACCAACCAAAGGGAAAGGTCAAAGATAAAAATGGACTTTCCATAGGAAGGGAAACACGGCACACATGTAAAGATGCCCCACAAGAGTTAAGAGAAACCCAAACTACAATGAACCTTGACATCTTTTGAACTGACAGAAGAGAATGCCCGACTCACAAGAGTGACAGGATAGCCGGGCAGTGGTGGCGCATGCCTTTAATCCCAGCACTCGGGAGGCAGAGGCAGGCGGATCTCTGTGAGTTGAGGCCAGCCTGGTCTACAAGAGCTAGTTCCAGGTCAGGAACCAAAAAGCTACAGAGAAACCCTGTTTCAAAAATCAAAAAAAAAAAAAAAAAGTGACAGGATATAGAATAAGTGATCCTCACACAGAAATTATTAGAATGTAAAACTACATACAGTAACTTTGGAGGTTAAATGTGGCACAATTTTTAAAACTGAAAATTAATTCATCACTGTCTTAGTTACTGTGAAGAGACATATGACCAAAGCAACTTATAAAAAAAGGCATTTAATTGGGGGCTTGCTTACAGTTTCAGAGGGTTAGTTCACGACCATCACAGTCAGAAGCATGGTGAGAGGCAAGCAGGAATAATGCTTGGAGCAGTAGCTGAGAGCTCATATCTGGTCCGTAAATTGTAGGCAGAGAGAGACTATGCCTGGTGTGGACTTTTAAAACCTCAAAACCCATCCCCAGTGCCACATCTCCCAATCCTCCCTAAGAGTTCACCAACTAAGGATCAAGCATACAAATACATGAGCCTATGGAGACCATTCTCATTCAAACCCCCACAAACATATAAATTAGGAGTTCCACTTCTAGGTGTGAATTTCAGAGAAACTTCTATGCCGGAAATACACATGTGAATATTCTCAAGCAACACTTGTTTCGACTAGAAAGTTCAGGAAATACCAAAAGCGTCCACCAAAATGACGGGTAAGTTTTACTATACACAGTAAAATGAACTATGTATGAATATGGATAATCTCACAATAAACCTTGGGTGAAAATCAGTAACAAGAGCTGTTAACATATCCATAATACACAAATACATATATAATCCAATGTACAAACCAAACAAAATGAGTTGTTTTACTTCTCTAATAAACTACATAATAAAACTGCGAAAAGATAAAAGTACTCCAAACTGCCAGTAGTATATAGATTCTTTGTTTCTCTAGTGGGTGGTAGACTCCTGTTTCTAACAGTCACTCCACAGAGGGAACTGCATTTTCCAGTCACTTCGTCCTCTGAATTCAGCCATGAATGTACTAATGTGCTTCTGTCCCTGAAGAGAGGAGCCACGCAGCAATGCCTCCAGATCCCATCTCCGTGCTGACTCAATGGCCAGAGCGTAGCAGAGGAGACAAAGGGGACAACGGGATGGAGACTGCTGATCTGCTTGAGTCTTGTTCTCATTCCACACCCAGACTGCACTTTCACACCAGACAATCAGGAAGCCAGTGGGCTGTCAAACAGATGCTGTGAAGCAGGAGAAATGCCAGAGGGAAAGAGGCTGAAGAATAACAGGCCGGGCAAATCTACTAGGGTTTCCTCTAGTTCTGAGTCACAGCCACTTGGTCTTCTCAGCGGGTCAGCAGAGGGAGACAGATAATATTCTGGAGACCAACCAAGCAGAGGAG